TGCAGAAGAACAGGCGACACTCTGCTGCAGGTGAGGGAGGGCGGGAAGGGGACGGACACTGCATCTCTTTCCCCGCACGGCCGTCTGGAATTGAGGAAGACCCACGGCCCCGGGCGCCGTCGGATCTGAAGGGCTCCCCTTCAAACTCCCTACATCTGCAGCCATAAAAGAAGTTAACCTCGAAATAACCTAGAAGTTTCTTAATCTGCTTCACGGAAGAGAGTCTGCCGCCTCACATTCTAGCAAGACAGATTTTGTAGGCGACCGAGAGATGCAGAAAACATCTGCTAAACAAAATCAGAATTAATGGAAAACAGAACGCAGTCGTTGACAGCTGGGGCTCACCCAGATGCAGAGAACTATAAAGGGGCTATTAGCAGCAGCTGCCAATTAGGGACTAATTCCAAGGCGTTTCAGAAAGCAAGGCTCGGGTTCCACACCAGCGCGGGCAGGTCATGTCCGCGTAGGAGATCTGCATTGCTGAGCAGCCCCAGCAGCCAGAGCCCCCTGGCGCGTCTGTCCTCCTCCCTGGAGGAGACAGCAGCCGCCTCCCGCCAGCTCCCTGCAGCCCTGCTGGAAGCCAGGCCAGGCGGGGCTGGGCTGGGACACGTGAGGGAGCCGTGGCTGGGAGGGGGAGCGATGCAACGTGACATCGGTGCCCACCCCCAGGCTCGAAGCCCCTAATCACGGCACAATCACAGGCATCTGGAGTAGCTCGCGGCTCACCCCACCTCCTAGAGGAAGGCTGACGAGGGCGGAATTAGCCCAGCCACTTGCTCGGCTCACTCAAGTGTCCTCTCGCGGCCGTCATTCAGCGTAATGGGACCGCTCAGACAGAAGTGCGGGTCTGAGCAGATGAGTTTTGGCGGTCACGATCAGCTCCGGCCCTCGGAGTGGGCATGGGAGGGTTCTGGAGAGGAGGTGAGGCTGGCACCTTTTGCTGAAGCTTCAGAAAAGGGTGAAACTAGATTTTAGGTGTCTGGAGACAAGTACAAAAATGCCAACACTGGGAAGCAGATGGAGACGCAGCCGCCGCTTCTTCCCCACGAGCCAGCATAGGCAGGTCCCGGCGAGAGGATGGAGGAGGACACAGGACTGCCCTCAACGAGGAATGGCTCCTTCTCCCTGGCAGAGCCCCACGTCCTTCCCTGAAGGCACCTCCCAGGCTCACGTCCCGCCACCGTCTCTCCAACTGCACCTCCCTCCACGCCCCTGAGAGTTCTCACCACAGATCCAACTCGGGAACGAAGTCCTCCAGGAGGTTTTGTCCCCAGGGTCCCTCTTGGCCCCCTGGGCTCTGCAGCCAGCTCAGCGTGCAGCAGCGCTTGGCCACGACGGAGACAGACCAAGTCATTCACGCCACCTCCGCCCACCAGACAGAGGCTCAGGGCTGCAGAGAGGCGCCAGCCTCCCGGACGGAGCCCTCGGCCCTACTAAGAATTAACACAGAAAGGAACGAAGGAGTGTTGTGGGTAAGGTGCTATCTGCTCTGTTTTTTGTCACAGGCTGCTAAAGGACAAGGGAGGTGAAGAACGTGAACACTCTCTGAAAACCTGGGAACCACCAAGAAGTTATCGCCCTTATTGCAACCTCCATCCCGTGCACACACGGCCCGGGAAGGTGGTCGCTGCCGCCCGGCGCGCCGAGGAAGCCCTGCCTCTCCCTGGCTCTCCAGAGCGGGGCCTGCAAAGAACGCCAGCCCCGAGATGATCAGAAACGAGCAGCTTAGTTTCGTGTAATTCCGCGGGAAACTAGGATTGGAAAATGCAGCATATCACGTTCCCTGTCGTAGTTAGCGTCGGAAAGATCCTGAGAGGTTCTGCAGTAAAAATGCCATAATTGGCAGCAACAGCAGAATCCGGCTCAGGTCTCCTGCGTCCGGCATTCTCTGAGTGCGTTAGAGTCTGGGGCTTCCATAATAAAGTTCCACGGATTAGGTGGCTTAAAACAACAGAGATTGGTTTTCTCACAATTCTGGAGGCTGAAGTCTCCCTGGGGGCTCGAGGGACGGGGTTCTTCTTGCCTTTTCCTGGCTCCTGGCGGTTGCCAGCATCCTCTGCCTCCATCCTCACATGGCATCCTCCTTGTGTGTCTGTGTCCACACTTCCTTCTTCTTATAAGGACACCGCTCATCAGGTTGGGACCCCCCCTAATCCAGTATGACCTCATCTTTACTTGATCGTGTCTGCCAAGTCCTATTTCCAAGTAAGGTCACATTCATAGGTTCTGGGTTAGAACTTTAACACAGCTTTTGGGGGAACACAATTCAGCACCTAACATACCAAGCTTATTCGAACAGGGAGTACTTTCATCAGTGCATTAGCCGGGACTATCTAGTGCATATCCATAGAACATTCTAGAACTAAAGGACTCAGTGCCTCACTTGAATATCACTAAGACAGGACCAGAGTGGAAAGCCAATACATGTAAAGCAAATACGTAGCTTGCAAGAAAGTAGTAAGAAACAACGGCTGAGCAGCTCTGGCCCTGGGCTGGGTCTGGGAGGGACTGGGGGGTTGATGAGGAGGGGTCTCTGCAGGTGGGACTTACCTGCCCCTCTTCCAGTTCCAGTTCACATCAGACCTAGGAACTAACCTGTTTGTTGCTAGATAATAATGTCTTGATTTACTGAAATATTCATAGTACCTCTACTATTTTACACTCATATACTGTTCTGGAGAAAATTGAAAGCCCCACAGTCCAAGTCAGTGAGGTCTCAAACCCCAAAATATTTGAACCAACCTGCAAAGTGCCACTCTTCCTTCCATCCTGCCTGCTGACAAACACTGACATTAAGGCACTGGGCTATTTCGGGAACCCTCAAACACTCAACTCTGACAGAAACAAGCAAGAAAGACATCAGGGTACCATGGGAATAAAAAAGTTTACATGATGTCAGGAAAAATTTGCAAGTACAAACCTAAAGCACACGGTCTCAGTCAATCAGGTGTAAAAGCTGCTACCGTGTTTCCCTGAAAATTAGACCTACCCAAGAAATAAGCCCTAGCAGGATTTCTAAGCATTTGCTCAATAGGAGCCCCACCCCGAAAATAAGCCCTAGTGACAGGTGTGGCTACTCGGCGCATCTGCACAACCCATGCATTTTGTCACGGAACGGGAAAGACGACGAGCAGCCCTTCTCATCTGCCCGGTGAGAGCTCTAGTGCTCAACAGGAGAGATTGGAGCCAATGGTTCTAAAGGAAACAGGGTTGCAAGAAATTCAGGATGGAATTCGGGGTTTGGAGAGTGATGATGATATTCCAGAAGAAGACGACTTCACTATATTTCAATCAATGTAGATGGTTGTACTGTACTTAAAAAAAATAACACATCCCCTAAAAATAAGCCCTAGGGTGTCTTCTTGAGGAAAAATAAATATAATACCCTGTCTTATTCTCGGGGAAACAGGGTATTTCCAGAGAGGGAGAGGTTATGGGTGACTAGAGCTCAGCCTGACTGAGCCTTCGCTCCCCCTCCCCCCAGCCCCCGACACTCTCACCCTCCCGGGGGGTTGAAGCCTTAAGTTCAATCAGGCCTTTCTGTGTCTTTGAGGGGAAATACACCAGGTTCCCATATAACCCCAGCCTTATTATCGACATTTCCAACACAAGGACAGTAAGATTTGAAAAAGGTTAAATTTATATGTGTATCTGTAACGCAAATTAATTCCAAACATTCACAGGCAGGAGTACCGACATACACAGAATATTATTCAAAGCCAAAGTTCATGTCAAATTCTCCTCTCCAACTCACCTGGGTCCCTGTGCCCGTTGTGAACATAGCTTTCAGTAAGAAACATCCTTCCCCGCCCCATCCGCCTTCAACCAGTTTTGTTTGGTGTTGACACACAAACAACGCAGTTCTCCCTAAAGACACAGTACAGATCACATAAAGTCCAAAGCCAGAGACAATGGCCAACGGGAATGGAAGCCAGAAAGTGCATCCCTGGAGTCAAACTAGCAGACACGTTGCCCTCAGGGTTCCAGCACCATGGACAGCAGCAAGCCCCACATTGGACTAGATACAGACAGCATGAAAAGTTTAGGTTCTCAAGGTCTAGAAACACACTTGATAACACAGCCACCCTGTGTCTCCCATTGTGCTGCATGACACAAGATCAGTCAGGAGGCCAGAAAACGTTAGATTTAACAGTCAATATGGAACGCGCTCACTTTTTAGATCGTCACTCTTTTTAGGGACAGTCCCACAGAGAAGGCCGTGGTTAAGGCTGAAAGCAGAGACCACACCCTAGACCAAGACCTCACTTTGGTTGTAGATGTCACTGTCCCATCCCCGCAATACTGAGATGATAGGCAATGATTCCACAACTCACTCAGTAGACCTCCTCTTACGACAGACTAGGTATTACTGAAAATGAATAAGGGAAACTTCAAATTCCACTAAAAGATTTCTGAAATAACCACCTTTATATGCTTACCTCAGAGACCAGAAAGCAAATGTGCTACGAGAAATGCTGGCAGGGAAAACAGAACCTCATGGAATTGTTTTCAAAAGGAAAATTAATTGGTCATTTCTATTTCATCTGAGGCTGTAAAAGATCTGTAGGCTGAGGCTGTAAAAAATCTGATCAGAAATGTTTTTTACAGTGACATCTCTTCCCAGGTATTAAAATACCTCAAATGGCAAGCCATTGTTTTGGGTTGATGATGTATCTTTTGGTGGATGAAACTAAATAATTAACTTCACACTTCACTCAAAAACGAGGCTTCTCTTAAGAGACCATGAACATGACTGTGGATGAGCCAGTTCCCCTCACCTCTGCTACTCGCAGGTAGAAGACACAGTTTTAACGAGCAAACCTGGCCTTCAGTTCTCAGAGTCCCTAGAACCAAGTGTCAAGGCAGTCAGCACCCAGAAAAAGCCACAAGGAATTTCAAAGAATGAGCTTTCCACCGTCTGAAGTTCATCTTAGTTCCGGCAAGCCACTTCCAAAATGTCAACACTGAGAATAAAATGGGTACGAGAGCATTTTCCCTACCTTCTCTTCTTGTGACTTCAAAGCTTCTGGATTCCTGCAAGAAAAGAAAGACTTTGTGTTTGTGAAGAATAATTCACATGTACAGATAATAACAAATATCCCTGTTAGTCACATATGCACACTAAGGCGAGCTAGTAAGAACAAGACATTCGGCGATGTTCGGTCCACTAAACTCAGCATGTGCGCACACACTCCTACACATACAAATAACTTGTTGCTCTGGGGGCTTAGGCAAAAAAAAAAAATAGATTGTTAATCATGCAGTTTTTAATGAGCCCCACTAACTCTCAGGGCCTTCCCTATGTGGAATCGGCTTTGGTACCAAGAGTTAAGAGAGACCCCGCTCCAGGTGGAGCCCCACCCTCCGCCCGGACTGCAGACACTCATAGGGCCTGGAGAGAACATACGGAGACAAGGGCTAGAGTCCTCCGCTCTGTGTTGCCATGGTGAAGGCCACCATTGCTCCTGTGTAGGTCCCTGGCATCATCTGTTGATTGATCACACCCAACTCACAGCTCCCGAAGGCTGAGATCCTACTGACAGTTTGGATAGCTAGCTCAAGCCACAGGACTAAATTAAGCCCTTGACTTTTCCTAATTCAATCCCATCTTTAGTGATGCTTGATAGGTGCAGGGCCACAAACACAGTGTTTCAGAAGTTACCAGGTAAGAGAGTTCCTGATTGATAATCACAGGTGAACAGGGGGATGTAGAACAAAGTACTAAGAAATCAAAGGGTGATTTGCCTTGATAAATACCAGCACTTCACATCCAGATGGAAACATAAAGAAAAGTGTGGGGTATTTTTGTTTGTTTGTTTTTATCTTTAGAGACAGAATCTCTCTCTGTTGTCCAGGCTGAAATGCAGTGGCACAATCATAGCTCATTGTAACCTCTAATCCCTGAGCTAAAATGATCCTCCTGCCTCAGCCTCCTAAGTACCTAGGACTAGAGACACATGCCACCGTGCCCAGATAATTTTTTTCTTTTTAATTTTTTGTAGAGACAAAGTCTCACTCTATTGTCCAGACTGGTCTCAAACTCCTGCCCTCAAGTGATCCTCCCATCTTGGCCTCCCAAAATGCTGGGATTATAGGTGTGAGCCACCATGTCCAGCCCAGAGAAAGTGTTTTTAAGAGAACCTCTGAAAATAGCACTGAAGAAAGGGCAGGTTATCAGATAGGAATAGGGGAGGCAGGGTGCACCAGAAGGAGAGAACAGCCTAAGAAAAGGCCAGGGGAGAGTGCAGGATCGCCCTGGAAGAAGGAAAAGTCCCAGGGAGAAGTCATGGGTGGGGGAGAAGGCTGAAAATGCATATTGCGGTTTCACAACTAATAAAGTGTATCTATAAGTCATCATAAATGACCTGTTTAGGATAAAAAGCCTAAGGTTGAAAATAAGCTGAAAATCTATGCCAGCAACTAAAGGAAAGAAGAGAAAACACCAGACTTAGACCACCACTTCAACCCTGAGAACAACGAGGTCGTTCAGCACCAGCGCTTTTTAAGCGAACAGCACGGTCTTCCATACCTTGGCATTCTTGCCCAGCATCTTCTTGCGGTCAGGAGATGGGGGCATATTAGAGGTGAGACAGGGGGCACTGGAGAGTTTGTCCTACCCAAGTTGCATTCTCTGGCTGCCTCGTCTGCTGAGTGAAAGGCCCACGTGTACACCCATGAAAGATCCGTGTGACCAGCCAGCAGCCCAGAACGAGCACAGCAAACCACCGCAGGTTCTGAGGGGCTGCTCACCGGGTCAGGGCTCAGAAGAGGCAGCATTGAGATGACAAGTGTAATTGAAGAAACAAACCATAAAGCAAACCCAGCTCCTCCTAAACTGTTCCCCAGCTCCCTGGGCCAGCACCCGGCACCACCACCCCCGGAAACAACTGGTGTTCACGGAACAGGAAATACACTCAGTGTTCACAGCGCCAAACAAAACCGTAAGAAATTCTTCTTGTGAATGCATAAAATTTATAAATTAATGTAGGGAATGGTATATTTCTAATAATTTGCTCAAGTCTAACTTTCCCTCTTTCAAGATCATTTCACAGTCTCCCTTGTGCACATTTTGAGTATTTCTTAAAGATTGTACATATTTTATTATCATAAATGGAATCTTCTCTTTCATTATTTCTTCTAACTGGTTTTTCTTTGCATATGCGATGGCCATCGAATTTTATACTGATCTTATAGCCACCCATTTGACCAAATTTCTTACTGTTTATAAAAGCTTTTCCATTCTTTTGGGGTGTCCATTTGAATATCTATATAATGTTCAGATAGTGATGATCTTATCTCTTCTCTCCAATTCCTATACTTCTAGTTGTTTTCTCTTGTCTTAGTGCTTTAACTAAATCTTCGACCCAGTGTTAAATGCTGTGGGCATACTGGGCATCCTTGTCTTGCTTCTGACTTGGAGAAGAAAACCGTTAGCATTTTCCTATTAAGAGAAATGCTGGCTTTTGGCCTGAGATATGTTTATTATATAAATGAAAGCAATATACACTTTATTATCGAGTTTTTAAAAGAATAAATGTATGTTCTAGCTAAAAATAGCTTGTTCTCTTACTCATTATTTATCGACTATTTTCCTCTTCTGGCGCGTGAGCTGGGGTGGCGCCAGAATCTTTTTCACTCTTGCGTCCTCAGTGCTGTGATAGAGCAGATGCTCAATACATATTTGTTGAATAAAAAATAAAATAAAATAAATATGTGTTGAATTTGATCAAGTACATTTTCTGCACTTATGGAGATGATCATGACTTTTTCTTCTTACCTCTATTAATAGGTTGACTTATACAGTAAACTTCATATTATACTCTCCCTGTATTTGTGGAATAAGCTTTTCTTAGTTGTGGTATACTTTTTTTTTTTTTTTTGAGACAGAGTCTCGCTTTCTTGCCTAGGCTAGAGTGAGTGCCGTGGTGTCAGCCTCGCTCACAGCAACCTCAAACTCCTGGGCTCAAGCGATCCTCCTGCCTCAGTCTCTCGAGTAGCTGGGACTATAGGCATGCGCCACCATGCCCGGCTGATTTTTATATTATATACATTAGTTGGCCAATTAATTTCTTTCTATTTTTATGGTAGAGACGGGGTCTCGCTCAGGCTGGTTTTGAACTCCTGACCTCGAGCAATCCGCCCGCCTCGGCCTCCCAGAGTGCTAGGATTACAGGCGTGAGCCACCGCGCCCGGCCAGTTGTGGTATACTTTTTAAAATATGCTGTTGGATTCTGGTTGCTATGATTTTAAACATGTGCTTGCATTAATTGGTCTATAATTCTTTATACTGGTATTCATAAATGAGATTGGTCTACCATTTTTCTCAGACTTAGGAATTAGAATGAAACCAACTTTATTTAATGAATTTGGAAGTTTTCCTTTTACTATGCTCTGGAACAGTTTAAATAAAAGTGGGATTATTTGATCTTTAAAGATTTCTTCCACTTCATCTTTCACATATTGATTAAAAGGGAAGGGGAGGTCAAACTCATCCAAGGTATGACATTTTGGTCAGTGGCCAAAAGTGTAACAATTCCAAAATCTATGCACATAACAGTCCACCTTTAAAAATAAAGTGATAATAGTTAATTCATAGGGATATGGTGAAAAAGAAATGAAATAGACTTTTACTTTATATTATGAAGAAGTAGCTTGTATTAGACTAATCCTGCTCTCAACAACTATAAAACGTGGATTTAAAAACCATGTTTTTGAAGGCATCGAACAGCAATAAGAGCAGCCAGAACCCACAGAGACAATATTTGGAGAGCAGAAAAGTCCACTGAAATGAGTCTTATACTCACTGCCACATTTTCCCCTTAGGGCATCTGCTGTTTTGCATGTAAACCAAACAGAACGTGACGTTTTAGAACTTAGAGAAGTCACTGGGTTGGGGGATAAAAGTCAGACTTCAGGGCTATCAATGCATCCTGAAATTTAGGGTCAAAATCCCTGGAAAAGGCAACCAGAGAGACGCGAGCTCAGCGTTCTGCACCCAGCTTCCCCTCGCGCTACGTGATCACGCCTGAGCTGCACATATACAGGGCAAGGGGCTGAGAAACCACTTACAAAGTATCTTCAAAGTAGGTCCCAAACAAGCAAAAAAGTAGCCTCAAATAAGCCTGAAATAATAAAATCTAAGCACAGACTCTGACAGTACATGGCGCTAGGGAGAAAAAAATTAGGCTTTCTAAGAAAGAATGGCTCTGGGAAATGCAGCAGAATTCCCATGAAGACCAGATATGCTCAAATAACTTCTATTCCTGAGCAGATCAAGATGATCCAACAGTGTTTAATATGTCTAACAAAGAAAAGTAAATCCTCTGTGGGAGGTGATCAAGTTATCCATAGGCTTTGCAGTTTCTCACATATAATCTCATAAAACAAACTCCAAATGTACGCTGCTTACGAGACACATACCGTAAAAGTAAGTACACAAAAAGGCTGAATCTAAAAAGACTTAAAAAATATATTAACTCCAGGAGAAAGCTGGTGTGGATAAAGTAGGCTCTAAAGCAAGAATTATTAGTAGTAATAAGGAGGGATGGTTCATAATGATAAAAGGGACAATTTAACAGGACTACGTAACAACTCTAAACGAGTGCGTACCTGAGCATAGCCTAAACATAAACTAAGAGAACAAAACTAAAAGAACTAAGAGCAGAAATTTTAAAAGCCCACAATAATGGTTGGAGTATTTAAGAAATCTCTGTCACCAACTGATAGAACAAGTAAAGAAAAAAATCAGTAAAAATATATAAGACTTGAACACCAAGATTAACAAACTTGACCTAACTGATACACATGGAACACTGCACCCAGCAGCTGCATATTTATTTCAAGTATCCATTCAAAATTGACCATATTCTGAGCCATAAGCAAGTTTTAACAAGTTTCAAATTATTAAAATTGTATAGAGAACATACACAGTTTTCTGACTAGAGTGAAAGTAAATTTAAAAAATCGATAGTAGAAAGATATTGAGAAAAATCTCCAAATATTTGACCCATGGATTAAAGAGCATATCACATAAT